TGATTGTGACCAGTCAGATGGAATAACGTCTAACTCCCAGATCTTAGCTAAAATATTAGTCAACCTAACCGCTAAAATTGGACCACCATCCTTAAAGACTTCTGGAACCAATCCATCTGGACCAGCAGCCCTTCCTCGTTTCAGATTATCTATAGCCGTATGAACTTCAGCAAGAGTTGGGGGACCTACTTCAATGTTCCATTCACGCTGTCTGGGAATGGAGGGTAGTTGTAGAGTAGCTGAAGGCCAGCTGAACTGTTCTCTGAAATGTTCAGCCCATCGTTCTAAACGCCTGGACTGGGAGCAGATGAGTGTATCGTCTTTTTCTGATATAATCTCACTTACACTTGACTTATTAATTCCAGTTTCTTTTATTAGTCTGTAAAGCTGTCTTGTGTTCCCTATAGTCGCCGCCTTTTCCATCTCTTTTGCTTTCGTTGCCCACCACTGCTCACGGTCGTTTCTTAGACTTTTTCTTAACCTAGATCTGATTTGTTGTCGCTCCTCATCATGTTCGGAACCTGATGGGACGAGTTTGCGAGAATCCATCAGTGTGATAGACTTTGAAGAAATCCACTGGTCCTTTGAAACTCTGTGGTTTAAGTTGCTAATAGATGTCACTGCTGCTTCCACAGCTGCTTGTATGTCTTTCCAAGCAACATCTGGGTCAGCCTCGTCTTCAGAATTACCTAAGTGTGAACTCAGTTGTTCCTGGAACCTATTTTTGGTTTTCTCGTTACTCAATTCAGTTCTAATTGGTCTTTTTAATGTGGCTTTTTTGCGTCCGGTGAGGCGCAAGCAGATGCGTGCCCGTATTAGGGCGTGGTCGGAGTCCAAGCAGGTACTCCAGAATGAGCGACAATCTTCTACCGACCCTCTCCAACGATGACTGATGGCAATATGGTCTATTTGAGTCCATCGTTGGTTTGGTGTAGGGGGTCGCCATGTTAGACGATGTCTCTCCTTATGTTTAAAATTTGTGTTTGCTAAAAATAAGCGATTGTCTGAGCACAGTTGCAGCAGACGATCACCATTATCTGTTCGCTGTGCCGGAATGCTAAAATATCCACCTAAATGCCTTTCTGTTTGGTTTAAGCTACCTATCTGGGCATTAAAGTCACCCCCTACGAGTACTATGTCTGAGCGTTTAGCTATCTGAAAAAGTTCAGAAAGCTTTCTGTAAAATTCATCCTTCACTTCATCTGAGCTGCAGTCAGTGGGAGCGTAGGCAGAAACGACAAAAAGGCAACGACGTGTGTCCCTATCCTTCCGAGTTCTTACGTAGCCGTTTAGCCGAACAGCACATAGACGACTGTTGATGGGGATCCACTCTAGCAGTGCTTGTTCAGCCCTCATGCTTAGTGCTATGCCTACACCTGCCAGTCCACGAGAACTGGCCATCGGGTCACCAGATACACGTAGGGTGTATCTCGTTGGCTCTCCGTTTTGCCGAGGTGAGGTCAAGTGAATGACCACACTGGAATCCTGTATGCGTGTTTCGGAGACACAGCATACATCAATGGAAAGAGACTCTAGGGTTTTAGCCAAGGAAGCCTGCTGACCGATTTGACATAGAGTGCGTACGTTGAAAGCTCCAATGTGTAGTTTGGAGCGAGGTTTCAGTAGACCTGGGACAGAGTTTTGAGCACTAGAATCGTTGGCTATGGTGACACTTGAGGAAGAAGCCGAAGGAGGAAGTTTAGGGTTCAAATTCGATGTAGGAGGAATAATAGGAAATGAAGAGGAAGGTTGATTATGAATACAGTGATCTTGGGTGCTGTTAGAGGTATGAGGGCGGTTATCACTTCCCGGGTGCCCACACCGTGGAAGGGTTCTTCTGGAGGTACCTGAAAAGGAAATTGGATTAGAGGCGGTCTCAGCGACCTGAGAGCGTGACCGCAGTGCCCAAGGGACAACTGCTTGAGGCCGGTCGCGCACGGCCTTTTTGTTGAAGGTTTTTGACGTGTTAGCTCCGTTCTTCAAAGAGCCTTACCGCCGGAGACGGAAATTCGTGAGGTAAGGCGAGGTGTGCATTTTTAGGGTCGACCTTTTCTAACCCCACCCCTCCTTGTGGGAAGGCAGCATCGCTGTCATGCTGGTTGTCTGAAGGAAACACCTTACTGCTGTCACACCTCTGTACAGTCAGCAGTACGACTTCGCCTTCGGACCTTAGGTTTGTTGCCTTTAGTCTTACCGCTCTTCAACCGACCTGTCTGACATGGTAGGACCTTGAGGAACGATTGTTCCAGCCAGTATAGCTCGGTTGCTTCATCACGATAGGCAAGCCCGACCACCACGTCAAGGTAGCAACAACGGTCGGGAAAGGCAATTTTTGCGTCGGCCGGGAATCGAACCCGGGCCGCCCGCGTGGCAGGCGAGCATTCTACCACTGAACCACCGACGCCCAAGTATGTGGCGGAGGTGGGATTCGAACCCACGCCCTGTTACGGACTGGTGCCTTAAACCAGAAAAGGAGAGATGGTTGGCAGTCCCATGCATAAGGTCGGACACGGCATCTGATGCCCACTCTCCTGAGGCATGAAACATCCGCTACTTTCGGATGGCCTTTTAAAAAAAAAAAGTGATCTGTAGCGGTAAATAAATCCCCAAACTAGATAGCTCTATAGGTTTTCGACATTGGATGCTGACCATATGTTTTAGTGGACTCATCTAGCTGAAGGCGCTCGGTCATGTATCCGCACCAGATCACGTGTGTTAACGCTGTGCTCAACATCTACCGCAATCGCTAGCCAGATTAGATCAGATATTTCCGATATATTGGTTATCGCCAAATACACTCTTCCGATTTCCTCGACTCTGTCTTTTGATTTCTCTCGGTGGGAACAAGGCATATCAGAAGGTGTTACTGGTAGAAGCGTTGTCAAACACTGAATACCTGTATCATCCCTCACATTCGTTTGTGCTTATCTAGTACTTCTTGATCCGATTACTTTATTTCTGGGATTCTTAGTTCATACTATAATTAAAATACTCTTAATCACATAATTAGGTAGTCACATTATGACATATTTACCATTTTTCGGATTAGCTCTAACATTATAATAACAAAGGTAAACGTACTAGTACCAAAGTAGGTTATAATTGAACATATCTATACTCAGTTTTTTGGTAAATATATGATTGAATAGAAGAATGGAAAGAGGCAACATCATTAAGTTACTCGAGATTTCAGATAATAAACTTGATAAAGGTGGCGTAGATCACCGGCGTAGATGATCTGTGTCGATTCATGCAGGAATGGTATGAACAACCAACTAACGTTGAAGTCACACATCGGGGTTGATGCCAAATGTAGATTGCCTATTCATCGTATCCAGGTAGTACGCCTACTTTGATAACTGTACAAGATAAACGACTTTATTACATGAATATATCAGTGTGGGTACAACGGAGAAAGTGTGACCACAGCCACATGGGCCAGTCTATGACGTGCGATTAGCTGATGCGAGTTGGTTGTCCTTGACCAGGACAAGTGAACTGTTCGATATTTAGTGACCTGACTGCCTGATTATTTGGCATTTCACCGAACCTCCAATGGATTCAGAAAATCATTTATTCAAGTTGATTTATTGGGTCACTGCCGTATTAACCCTGAATATGTCATTTAGATAACACAACTCTCCTTCATGTTCACTTATGTCCCGCTTATTTCCAAATGCTTTTTGTGACAATCTTCTTAACTCGTTATTTTGCTAAACAAGGTGTATAGACAATAATGGATCAGTGAAATCTCACTGGTTCTTAACCAAACCAACCGATATTTGGGTCGCTGGATATCTTACAGTTTATAAATCCTCATCAAGGTCAAAGACAACAGACGTACATGTGTCAGTTACACGCTATGGACTGTCCTATGCGGCAGTGGTCTCACTTTGTTTATTACACCTGCTCTTCGTGATACATTTCTGTAATGACACTGTTGATGTTGTGCGGCCATCGAAGTAGTCATGATACCTGAATGAGGTGAATAAATAATCCATGTCAGACAGTAAACATGAGATGTGGTTGGTGATTTGCAACAGTAGATCTCAATAACACGGTCGTTTGTTTCAAAACGTTATGGTTTTCTTGTCCACCACTGGGCTACAGCTGGTGCAGTTATACTAAGTATCATGGAGATGATGCCTAAGATACTTCCGGTTGTGGAGATTGTGATGCTGAGGCAACTTAAGGAATTTAGGTTGGATATATCATTACTTCTTATCATTATTTTTTCTCCGATATCGAGAGGTTTCCAGCAGTCTAGTCTTATATCTGTCATAAATTTCTGAAGAGACAAGAAGTAAGTTAACCCTATTATCTCTATGCTACTCTCAAGATCATCTGTGAATTTGAGGGCTTGATAAGCGTAGATTCAAGGAAAACTGCTAATAACCAATAAGGACACGTATCGTCTAAATATTATATGTTGAGGCAAATCATTTATTGTGATCCAGAAAATTGATTCTATGACTGCAAACGTCCGACTTGCTACTGTTTTTTGTGTAGTGAAGAGGTTTCAATTTCGGATAAAGAGTGGCTCAAATTTGGCAATGAATGTCTAGTGGGTGCAGCAAGAATGGATCAGACTGGACTGTGGACTGTATTCCTTTTAATCTACCATGTTGTGTGGGTTCAAGTGCCGTAAAATCTTGTTGGATTCGACAAGCCCAAACTTCATGATGCCTAGATTAGCGTAGTAAAAGAGAAGTAAGCAGTCACTGAAGGAAAGTTCAATGCGGGGAGAACAACTTGATATAAGCTCCTTAGCTAGCAGATTAGCAACCGTGTTTTATGAGTTGGGTATGAAAGGCGAAACTCGATCCTGAAGATTCACTGTAATTCAAACCATTTGCTTACTGCATCATCATGAAGAATACACTTTTAAACAGGGGTAATATGAAACAAGTGAACCTATCACGAAATTCAGAACGTTTTAAACTAAGCACGAGTTTGTTTGTTTGTGTCAATAACTTCAAATATTTCAGTGATAAGTATTCATAATTGTGAGCGATCGTTCTGTGAATACGCGCATGTACTTTTTTGTTTTGTGTCAACTCTGGAACATGATAGAATTCAAAAAATTAATTTGCATATCATCACTCAATAACTAGGACAATTATGGTGGATTATTGGGAGTCGTACACTGGTTCATGAAGTGATATTGAATGGCTCAGTTATGTGATATGGCTCAGGCTTCTGCTTGGTTACCTCTCGTTAGAGCCTCAGCGATTGGATGGGTACCGATCGCTCAGCATCGTCTTCCGAAAAACGTGTGCACAAAGGATGATTCAAATCAAGATATTTATGAGAAGAAGGCAATTATTAATGTTAGCGGTCAGAGATTTGAAGTACTTACAAGCAGTTTGAATCAGTATCCGCATACGTTGCTTGGATCAGATGAGCGTGATTACTTTTATGATGAGAATAGTGGCGAATATTACTTTGATAGAGATCCTGAAATATTTCGACATATATTAACTTATTATCGTTGCGGGCACCTCCATTATCCTAAGAAAGAATGTGTCATGCAGTATGAAGATGAACTTGCCTACTTTAGAATAGCATCAGAAGCTCTAGGTGATTGCTGCTACGAAGATTACCACGACAGTAAACGTGAAAATTCAGAGCGTCTACTGGAGGAAAGATCGTCAACCAAAGAGAATGCTGAAGTGCCAAAAGATTTTCGTAACAGACTTTGGCAAGCCTTCGAAAACCCAGAGTTTTCTACTACTGCGATTGTCATTTACTACGTAACCGGCTTTTTTATTGCTGTTTCCGTGTTTGCCAATATTACGGAGACTATACCTTGTGGGCCAGAACCTGGGCTAAGTAAACAACGGGCTTGTGGCGATCGGTACATAGATGCCTTTTCATGCCTCGACACAGCATGTGTAGTCATATTCACTGTAGAATACTGCGCAAGAATGTATGCTGCGCCAAATAGATGGAAGTTTTTTATATCTGTTATGAGTATAATAGATGTCGTTGCAATATTACCGTTTTATATTGGCTTATTGATGCCAGACAACAAAGTAAGTCTGTGGCTGTTATTTGTCATACACTTTACACATTTTTGTCGTGTGATGATGTCTGTTAACCGTTTTTAGGGCTGTTTTTGTTGTTTAATGTAAATTTGTAGTTTCTAGATAGATTAGTGTAACATCAGAGTACCACTTCACGTAACTGCCGTCAGAATAAAATTTAGAGTGAAAATTATGTTTACATTTACTTATTAAATGTTCCATAACAATCTGGAACGTAAATTTTAAGAGTGGTTTTAGATAAGTCGATGACTAAGCTCATATGAGTTATATTTATTGTTTTTGAGAAATACAACTATCGTCCTTTATTCACCTTCCTAAATAACAGAATAGTTCAAACAACTAACTATTCGCACCTGCTTAACTTTAAAATTACACCTCAAAGTCTTGTTGCTACAGAAACAAAGAAAGCTATCTATACTTCACAGAAACCAATATCAACTCTTAAAGCATCAGTCACAGTTTTTATCCGAGATATTAAAACTCCTTTAAAGTTCGCGTTTTAAGATAAATGTTTCGATAGGATACCTGAAAGTAGTCGATTGTTCAGGCTGCTAAAACGTGCCTCAACAATTGTATTGCTGCTGACGTTTGAAAAAAGTAATGTGTACCCTAATTAAGAGGCATTTGGAAAGTACCAACTTTAAGAAAGCTGTAATGTGTCATTTTTGTTACTGAGTTATAGTAACTACTATATGTTCAGTATCAACAATTTCAGATGCTTAAACTATAATGCAATAATCTGTTAAATGTTACCATTTTTTATCATTTTAGCCTTATTTTTAGTCCATTAGTATCTAGGAAAGTTAGACTTTACTACTCAACTGCTTATTTTAATATTAATTTATAAATCATTAAAAAATAGTTCCAGATTACAAAGATGCATGTTAATTGCTTAGTCAACATTCTAGACCACATAATCAAAGCATTCTTTTTTGTCCTATTTTACTTCAAGTTATGGCAGCATATCTAATGATGTTCATCTTTAATGGGAAATGTGCGTCCTATTTTAAGTGCACTTAGATAAAATTCTTTATCATACTTCATTTACGTAATATGCAAATGTTGAATCAAAGGTTTTTTCTGTTCCCTTTAATTTATTCAAAACGAATATATTGTTTTTGAGATAGAAACAAAGGGAATATGTAATGCATTTATTTGCCAAACACTTTATAACACTGTACAAAACGTTGCGCAGATAGATATTTGGATAAGTGGTCTTTTACTTTTGTTTTTCTCTTCGCAATCGTAAAAATCAACCTGCTTAAGAGACAACAAGACATTAATAAATACTTGGTATTGAGGTACAACAAATAACACATCGCCCTGTCTTATGTTCATGAAGTCGTAATGGATCAGCGAAGACCAATATAATGTGTAGACCTTAGATTTTACAATAGGCTTTCTGTCAAGACATCCACGTGTGTTTTGGCCAATTTTATGATTTCTATAGATACTAATAATAGTCATTATGTGTAAAAATTGTATTTTACATAATCTCAGCGATTGAAATTTAAATAATTCCAACGTTTTGTCCAGCTAACTTGTCTGGACTTCTTTGATTATTACCCTGAAGAAGTCCAGACAAGTTAGCTGGACAAAACGTTGGAATTATTTAAATTTCAATCGCTGAGATTATGTAAAATATAATTTTCACATATAATGACTTCTATTTACTCAGCGCTCAATTTCTGTCAAACTGTTCGTTCTAATCTTGACGAATATTTGTATATGATAGTAATAATAGTTATATTTTTTGTCATGTCCCAATGAGTAGAAAATTGCATTTCTGATATTTCTTAACAATGTAAGCCACTTCTTTAAAGTGGATAAATAATCAAAATAAAATTAACGCAAGTTAAAGCAACACAAAGCAAACAATTTGGATCGTTTTTAGCACAATCAAAACCATAACTTCTGTAGCTGTTCAAATAATTTTGCCCAACACCAACTTTACCGTTACTAAAACTTATCCACAAACTGAATAACAACTTCTCTAATGCTTAATAAAGTAAATAAATGTATTCACAACTCAAGCAGTCTAGTTATTTAGTGCTGAATTTATTATTTGTAACAGTCTTACTTTTATGATTAGGTGAGGTGACAAATATTTTCCCACCAAAGAATAGTTTTACTTGCCATTCAGTAAATAAAACATAACATAGTGATCGTGGAAGCGATTTTTTAGAACTATTCTCATTCCAACAGCATCAACGATAGACTATTTATTCAAGGTATCTATTTGTGGGCGCTTTTTAATGAAATATGAATTCAAAATTAAGACTTGCCCTGAAAATTAGACTAAGCTACCATAAACCACAATCTCTGATGAATTGCTCCATAAATAGCTTGTTAAATCATTTGTGGACGAAGAATATTTTAGTAGGGAAGGAGGACTGTAAATGTTGCATAAGAGTGCTTTTAAAACTTTGTGATGAAATATAAGCTATATAACCATATAAAAGTCTGGTGTGAAAGTTAAGGGACACGATTCAAACGGAAGTGTAGTCAAAATAGATTCGGACTAAGACGTATTATTGAAGTTATGTGCAGGAACTATGATTGCTGGCCTCTCTAGTGACTGGGTTACTTAATATCGTCGTAATTAACTGACTAGGCTATCTCTTATTCGTCTGGATTAGATTGCAAGCTGATCACCGTCTTAATTTTGCGATTCGATTCCACAGTTGGAAATACTTTGCAAGTCACTGTGGCGGTTCCTCGACTACTGGGTTAGTTTAAGCTATTATAGCTCTTGCTGTGTAGATATTGATCTTTCCTGGAATTTGTTGACTTTTTCTGTAGTAGATGCTTAAATGCCCGGGATTTTCTGCTGTTTACAGCCATTTATCAGAAAAGGTGAATCAAAGCTTAGCTTATGAATTTCTAAGGAACAGTTACTCCTTATCGCCTCAAACGTAGAGTAAGGCTATATATTTTGTTACTACCTAACAAACTGACTTAATTACTTATTTTGTTTTTATTGATGACGTAGTCTTATCAAACGAGCTCAACCTAATAGTAGCGCCTTTTATTGGTCTCTTTTGTGTGTGATAATCGTCCAAATTATTTCGTGTTTATGGGCTCTGTTTGTTCAAGAAATCTGTGACAGATCTAACGACGAGAAGCATATTGTATACCGGTTTACAACAGATGTGGTGGATGTCTGGCTTATTATTTGATTCGTCAACTGGGCAAGAAAAGAGAGACAGTTTTACAGAAGTGTATAGGACAGTGTGCTAGATAAATATTTTTTTGAGACTTTTCACCTAGCGTTAGCTACATACCTGAAGACATCTATGTTGCATGACATTAACCTTCTTATTGTTCATGAAGGAGCAGGGTTATTGTTAATAGTTGTTCAAATAAGCTGAAGTCGCTTTCGGGATTAAATTATCCTCGCTCGTACTCTTGACCGAATAGCCATCTTTCGAGAGTACTCTGTAGGCTTTTTGAACAGTTTCACTTAATGAACTACTGACGATCTTTGACCTTGCAATCAGTAGAAGTACACATATATGAAGTAAATTAAATGGCATATTACTTAACGAAGCCCCTTCAAACGATAAATATTTGAGTAGTGTATACCATAATTTATAATATGATATTTGTAGCTGGCTCTTAAGAATATGACACGATTGTTTGTAATTCACCTACCAATAGTTAATCAACTTTGATTACAAAGCAAAATTTATTCTGCGTCCATCGTAAGTTCAGATTTTTATCAGTAATATGTATTCTAATTAATCAAGTTTAAAAAATTTCGAAATAGAAATCTATTCAAACAAAGACACAAAAGCATTATATTTCTCAACTTTTCACCAAATAGATTCAATTTATGTCAAACAGTCACCTGAAAAAATGATCTCATGATTTTCACTAGAAAAGTGGTGACCAGTGGAGTTTAACCATCTCTGGCTGAAACAGCTATCTGCCTTAAGCAATGGAGGATAGTTGCAGAGTTTTGCGAAATAATTGAAAGCAGGGACGTACGTCACTGGATGCTGGCTCAGTGGTATATTGGTTAAGTGTTCATTTACCAGACTAGAGGTCCTGTTTCATGGATGTGGACTGCTGATGAGTTCCATACCAGGAGGAAAAAGCTGCTCAGAGCTTCCTGGTTTTCACCCACTTAACTAAAATTAGTACGCAATGTGATTTCTAACAAAATATTAGTTGAAGGAGTTTTAATGACATGATATGATTATCCAGTTGAAACGTGACTGGGTGTTTGAAATTGTGTAGTGTAAGACTTGCTACATTTATCTAATACATTACTAGGATTTTCATTATAATAACAGGGACTATTTTAAAGTAAAGCGGCTTTTCAGTTTTAAAGTAATATGTACATAATGTTAATTATCTAATATATCGTTAATTTTAAAAAAAAACAATAACTAAATAATAGACGATTTTACATATCAGCTAAGCTCATTTCCTAAATGATTGTTTCGTTTCTCTTTTTAAATGCACAGGTACAAAGCTAATTTATCCACAACTGCTCATATTTTTTATTTAAAATCATTTTGTGATCATTAATTCACTCTGATGTGATGCTATTATTAATTATTGTTTGGTTATTCTATTGAGTGGTCGATAGGTGTGTTTTCGAATACGTTTCATCGATTCTCACTAAGTACTGGATTGTCAGGTTGTACGTGATATATATATTTCCAGAAATATAATGTGCTCGAGTTAGGTACTAAAAATGTTGACGAGCACTACAACAAAAGGTTCGAAATTAAACTGTCCAGAGTAGAGATCAAAATACTATATATATATATATATATATATATATATATATATATATATATATATATATATATATATATATATATATATATATATATATATTTATCACCTCAAGAATAAGGTATGTCTTGGTGACGATTACCAATTCGAAAAAGAAATAATTTCAGGGTTTCCTGGAGGCTACCTTCTATCATATAACGTTGGATCTATTGGCATCTTTTAACGTAGGTTGGGATTAG